AGGGGAGGGAAGGGGAGGGGGGAGAAGAGAGGGAACGGAGGAAGGAAAGAAGGGCTAGTATCATCAATGATTTGAGAAAAGAGTTAACCTCATGTTTTGGAAGACCTATTTTTGTTATGTTCCTGCTGAGCCTTTCTGATTACCACTGCCCTTTTTTGATAAAACAATTATACTAGAAGATAGCATTGAATTCATCTTTAGTGTTATATCGAATTTAGGTTGTTCTAACCTAATGACTCTCAACATGGGGTGGTTTTTGTCCCATAGGGGGCATTTGGAAATGTCTGGAGACATTTTGGTGGTCACAATTGGAGAGACAGAGATAAAGATGCTACAGCATCTAAGGAGGCCACAGATGCTGCTAAGTATCTATCCTACTATACACAGAATGGGCCCCTACAATAAAGAATTATTGAGCCCCATGTGTCAAACTATCAAAATGGGAAACCCTATTAATTTAAGGTTCTCCATTCTGGCTAAATATTAGAATCACCTGAGAAACTCTGAAAACATTACCAAATTACCCTGCACACAGAGATCCTGTTATGATTGATCTTAGGAAGAGCCTGCACAATAGAACTTTAAAAATACTTTCTGGGTGATTCTAGAATGCAGCCTAGGTTGAGATGCTCTCTCTAGAACCTGGGCGAAATTCTGGCTGCACTCGCCCTCTGGTGTCTTCTGGGCCCTTCTCTGTCTGGCTGCTTTGGGAGCTCTAACAGTGTATGCCAGAGCACACCTGCCATGTCCCTCATCTCCGAGCTTCCTCTCCCTTATGCCTCAGGACTTCAGGTGACTCTAAATGGCAGTGATGAGACACCTCCTCTAGCTATGTATTCACATTTCATTGCCTTCTCTAAGCAGGGAACCATCTTTTCCTCATCATTCTTGCTGTAAATCTGGTAAGAGGTGTTGGTGTCCTTGCAAGCCTTAGTGCCTGGCTTCTAAGTGTAGCGTGCAGTCATAATAGATTCACCAGGAAGCTTCTTAGAAAAGTAGAACCTTCGACCCTGCACAGACCTTCCTGGGGAATCCACAACTTAAACTGTGAAACGCCTTGTTCACTCTGGGACCTTATAATCTCTTATGACTATTCTTATTTCCATGTTTCACCTTCTGCTCTGGTTGTGTGGTTTTCACTCCAGTTTCTGAAGAATTTCCATTTTCTTGTGTTTTGGGTTTTTCTCATGTTTGAGCTCAGCTGAGTGTTCTGGACAGCTAGGGGGAGTTTCATTAGATACCGACCCTGCTGCCAAATGAGAACGAGGAGCGGAAGTGAGACCACTCCAGATGGTGTGGCCAGAAGGCATCACGGTGGGGCAAGCAGAGCTCGGGGCAACTAGCTCACCTTGGCTGAGCTGGTGATCTGTCCATCCAGATAGGTGGAAATGGTGCAATTCCTTTTCATTTCCTTGGTGACAACCACAGCCAGGTGGTGCCACTGACCACAGTCCAGCAGCTGGCCACACTTGACCCGAACCTGGCGTCCGGCAGAAGGTTCAGGATCATCCTCGGGTTCCATGACGTCTGCAAGAGAACACAGATGCCATACCTTGCGTGCCTTGTAATGCTGCAGCAACCCAGGAGAACCAGGGCCTTGTGCCGAGGAGCTGTGGCCTAGACCCCCTCATGACATAACCACAACAGCAACTATCGTTGCTTGAGGTCCTGCTTTGTGCCAGACACTAGTTTAAGAACAGTTACAAATGACACTTCATTTCGTTTTCACAGCCCCCCTGTGAGGTAGGTGCTATCACAATCCCCATTTACCCTCCTGAGGCACAAACAGGTTATGTAACTTGCCCAGGGTCGGGCAGCAGGACTCAAACCCAGGCGTCAAGCTTTGGGTCTACCCCACAGGAGACTGCCTCTGCAGTGATGCACGTCTGCCCTAGAGTCCTCAGGAGGGGGAGGGGAGAAGCACTTGTGCTCTGTGACAATGATGCCAAGCCTCCCCTGGGGCCTTCTGAGTGTCTCTCTATGAAACAGTGACATTCTTAGGGGACACAAGAAGAACAGGCCATATCTGGCCATCACAAGGGGATGAGCTTAGAGAGCTAGGCAGAACTCTAAATGGCAGACTCTGGACCAGCCACCAGCCACTGAAGGAGGGTTGGTCTCCCAGGCTCTCGTGCCAAGAACTGCTGACTTAGCTCCATCTCCCCCAAGTGTGGGCAAAAACAGCTCCAGCTCCCAACACCTTACCCAGGGGCTGAAATGCTTTCTCTTCTGTAGACACAACCAAGGAGAGGTCGTCCGGGCACAGGCTGACAGAGAAGCAGACGAAGGGCTGCTCAGTCCTGGCCAAGTGACGCACCAGGGTTAGGAAGCGCAGTGGGTGGCCCTCAATGACTGTGCTGTGCCTGCCGATCAGGAACCAGCAGGAGAAGGTCAGGCCCCCAGATGGAGGGAATGACCTGGCAGCACCTGGAGTCAGAACACAAGCATCCCCTTAGACTTTCTCCTGCCTTGTAATCTTGTCTAGAGTCTTCATAGCTCTGATTCAGCCCAGGTGTGGCCCTACTGTGTACCAGCTCTGTGCCTGGTCTGACTCATGCCCACTTTATGTCAACCCTACACCACAGAAACTCATCCCCTTATTCATACTTGCAGGAGTAAGTCATATTCCCACCAGGACTTGAGTCTAGATCCCCAAAGCCTCTCTTTAATTCTATTCCACATATTATTTCATGCCACCTTGCCAAGGATGTGGAAAGGGGGACAGAACCCTGCAGATGGTCACTACTGGCTGATCTAAAGCTGGGCAGTATGCTATGTGAGGCAGAGAACACCAGCCTAGCTCAGCTGAACCTTGTGTGGGGGAGTGTCCCTATACGGAAACCCATGTCCTCCAGCCCCATAACAGGGTTGGCAGTACAGAGCAGGCCTGCCGTCCTCCATGAATTAGCAGAATCAGACTTGGTGCCCCGTGCGGATGGGCTGTGAATGCACTGACTCCTCAGCACCCACCATCCCAGAGAAATTCTGGTTCTCCTAACTGAGGGTGCTTAGCTCAGACAGCACTGGGCACTTGCCCTGTCCTGCCCAGCCAGTTTTTAACTGAGCACGGCACTGTGCAAAGCCTGCCAGGGCCCAGGTAGACCAGATTGCCATTCACGTAGAATGTATATCCTTCTCTGGAAAGAGACCTAAGGCAGGTTGTGGTGTTCGTTTCAACTTGTGTCAATCACTGACAAAATGAATCCAACCCAGACTCCGCCATCGAATCACCACTGAGTCCCCCCACTGCAGAGTCATGGCTGGGCCCTTGGGATCCTCCTGCCCTAACACAAGCATGACAAACTTCAAGGATGACTCATCTACAGATACACAGATATAAGGCCAAGTGGAAGTCTGACACCAAGGCTCCCTCGGCACTGGTTGTGGAGGCAGGGTGAGGACAGCTCAGCAAGCTGAACCCCCCGAGAATCACCTACCTGTCCCAATCCCTCCAGAGACCAGATACTCTGTACTGCTGCCCATAACTATAGCCAGGGTCGGAATAAACAAACAGCTGGAAACAGAAAAGTGTCTCAGATCAGTGAACTGCAAGCCAACTTCTGGCCGTGACATCTCCCCTCTGTCCCCCTGCAGGGCCTCCCTCCCTCCTACACCATGAGGACAAAAAGCAGCTGATGCTGTTATGAGGGCTCTGAGAGACGGAATTCACACTGGATCCTGAAGGGGAGGGCACTTCCGAAAGCAGGCCCACCAGGGGAAGAAGAGGGTCATAGCACTCCATGGCTGAGGATGCTGGTCCCAAGAAGCCACTGAGTAGACAGGGTGTCCCTGGCCCAGACATTTTCTGTTCCTCAGTGGTGAGAGCTGATGAGAACTATAGTTCTGTGGTCAATATTATAATTTATCAGAGGCACTGGGAAATTAATAAAGTGCATTCCCATTATAAGAAAGCCTATCCTACCCATAACCTTCCATGGACATGTCAAATTCCACAAACGATGGAGCCAGGACTGCCCTCTGAGGTTGCAGGTGGCGCGGGGAGGTCATGGAGATGAGGCTCAGCGAGGTCTGAAGGGCGGTGGTTGAGTCCTGGGACGTCCCCGAGGGCCTGAGGGCCCGTGTGGCTGCTGGGCCGGGGCCAGCATCCAGGGCTGCTCCCGCGGGACCCTCAGCTGTCCCTGCTGCGGCAGCCTGAGACCCTAAGGCAACAAGCCAGAGGAGAGATGAAGAGCCGTGTCCCTGTTCAAGCATTTCCACTGCTCTTCTGACAACAGCCCCAGTGTTTCTGCCACAGCCCAGAAGGAGGGTTAACCTAACCGCTGTGAGGTGGCTCTCTCCTGACTCAGTAACGCTGAACTGCAGCAACAATGCTCCTCCTAGAAACTTCTTCTCCCTTCAGTCCACCATTCCCCACAAACACCCGCTACACACACTTTCCAGCTTGCCCCACTGGTGGTCGCTCATGGCGCTTCATCCTGGCTCCCTGACCTCCCCACCCACAACAGCCCGTCTCTCTGAAACCTCTGCTCCCCGCCCCTGGCTGCCAGCACGAGCTGACTCGCCATCCATGCTTTTCAGCTGGGCCTCCTTGCCTTCACGTCCTTCTGCGATCTCATATTCGGTATGCTCACAGCTTTCTGTTCTTTAAGCTGCTCCCTGGAGCCAGCAGCCTCCCCGGGACCATGCCTAATACTAGGGATCCCCCCAATGCTTTGGCCTTTTGACCTTCTGGCTGACTTCTGAGCTGTGAGCTGTGCAAAAAGCCATCACTGGCACCTCTGCCCAGGCGCAGCACTAGGTACTCGAACATGCAGTGTGTCATGAAGGAAACCCTATCGCTATTTCCGTGATCTGCACTTAAGGGGTCAAGTGCATGCTCACCATCACCTATCTTATATGAGGGTGGGGGTCATCCTTTTCCTTCCAGATCTGGTCTTGCTCTGGGACCAGCAATCCTGCTTTTCCTTATTTGCTCCACTGTGCAGCAGACAGTACCATTTTTTAAGTCTGTCTGCTTCTCACCTGTTGTAAAGTCTCCCTTATAAGGGATGCATATTCTCTTTAATTCCCATTAACCTGTTCCTGTTCTTTCCCCTGTCCTCACCTGAGCCTCCAGAGTCCCCTCTGTGCACACAAGATGAATGGAGGATTTTCGTTGCAGCCGACGGAGGTGAACGAATTCCAAGACCGAGAAACTGTCTAGGTTATAACATACAAGAGAAAGAAATGAAGAGCTTTTATGGGCAGAAGTGTTCTCCAGCTTTCCTAAGTCTCAGCACCTTCCTAAATCTCAGTGCTCCCTGACCCCCTCCTCCACACTTTCCTCTCTCTGCCTGGAAACCTTCCCTCAAGCCATGCAGAAGCAGGGTGTCCCTGGCCCGGCACCCAGACCACAGAGCTAGTGCGTTTAGGTGCCTTTGACTTAACCAGTGACCAGCTGGGAGCCTCAAACTGAACCTTGAAGGGAGAAGGAGTTTGCACTCCTTTGTTCTGTGTCTGCTCGGTCTGCTCTGCTCTGTGCCTCTCCGTCCTGCTCAGCTTTCCAGGAAACAGGGGCCTTCCTAGACGGGCATGCCAGCAGGAAGTTTCCCTGAGCATACAAGGGAGCACTGCCTATGTCCCTCTCCTTGTCAGGAGTCCCGGCCCACCCCTGCTCCTCACAGCAGCCCAGCTCCCTGCGGTCTGGCTCCTGGGGGTGTCAAGCCCTCACAGCTCCCATCCCCCTCAGCAGGGCATCCTCACATGCCCTCTTCCCTCCTCCCTGAGTCCCGTGAACGCTGGCACAGGCCTCAAGCCTAAGCCACCCACTGCCTCGAAGCCCTGCCCCTTCCCACCCGCTCTCCCAAATGTGGCCTTCCTGGTTCACGCAGCGCTAGCCCTGTCCACTGAGCATCCCCCACAGCGCTGTTCTGTGTTGTCTGCAGGACCCTCTGACCCTTGTCCCCTCTGCCCTAAGACTATCAGCTCCACAGGAGGGGCCTTGTCTGTTTTGTGGGCCTGCCGACTATCTGCATGGACACAAGGCTCCTCCCTGGACTCACAGTGTCCAGTGCTGGGAAGGGCCATGCCCTGTAGAGGGGCGAGGAGGAGGGGGCATGGAGAGACCTGTCCCTGTGCACTCCTCCTGTCCACTGTACCTGAGCACAGCTGCCAGTGGCTCAGCCACGTCTAACACACGGCACACAGTACCTTAACACGTCAGGTTCGATGGCTTGGGAGGCAAGCTTTTCAAAAACCCTGATGAGGCCCGAGTTCAAGGGGCTGGGGCTGGTGGTCAGGGCCCTGTGGCAGGAGGCCATGAGGGTCCTAAGCATCCCCGCCTCACACATGACCTGACGGTTCTTCTCTGACTTCACCAGGGACTGGATGTGACTGGCCACAGAGCACTGGATCTCCTGGGAAAGCTGAGAGGTAGCAAAAGCAAGCAGTGAGCCCTTGAGGTCAGAATATTTTGTGGGCAACTTGGCTCGACCCCCAACCAGGCCTCAAATAGGTTGGGGGGCCAGGCAACTGCACCCACGCAGCCTGTTCTCACTGCACCCCGTCTGTCTTGGGAGTTCTCAGGTGTGCCCTCGTCCCGTGCAGAAGGGTTCAGCTGCCAAAGAGGGACAGGCTTAAAACAGAGACTGTGAAGTGCCAGCATCTGAGAAGCTGCATCTGCCCCAGAGACACGGTGTCCGACCCAGGCGATGTTTAAGCAGTTTCTGAATTAACTGCTAACATTTAAAGGTCTGGGGACTTTACCTAAAAGTCCGGACACGTGGGCTCTCTCAAAAGGTAGGAAGGCCGGGTCAGACGGGTTGCAGTTCTGTGTCTATGAGGGGCAGCCAGGGCTGGCCAGTGGCTGTGCCTCCTGTGGGCCCCTAGCAGTCGTGTGTTGGAGTCCGTACCCCTGGCACAGAAGGTGCAGCGTGCCCAGGAGGCGGGCCTGCAGGCAGTGCCCACGCTGACTGGCCGCGGCTGGACCAGACCACACTCAGCGCCCAGGCCAGCGCCAGCCGCAGCTCTGGTGCCAAACACCCTCAGTCCCTGCTGTCGTCCCCCCGACACCTTCCAACTGTCCTTCGTCCACCTCTCAGACATGGACAGCTGGGGTGTCATCTCACCCTTACTGGTTTTCCAGGCACTTGAGTATCTTTATGTCCTTGAAGTCCACAGAAGAGAGCACAGAGAGTCAGCTCAGTAAATATATGAGCCAAATACATTGCTTTTGCAACCTTGCTTTCTTCATAAAAATATAAACCCCTGGAATTCCCAGGCCTCTGTAGATATACTCAGGGGTGGGGATGTTGGGGAAAAGGGGTGGAAATTCCTCTAAAAAACCTCTTAGGACTGCCCACATTCTCTTTTACTGTTGTATCTGATATGGTCTAAAGTAAGAGGGATACCAGTTAGAACTTAATGGAATTTTCCTGCTGTGAATACTATGGAGCCTCCCCCAGACCCCCTTCTCCAGGTGAGTGTACCCATCACCACTCCCCCCTTCTCTGGAGGACTGAGCTCCCCTAAGTGGGAGCTTCCCTGCCCCACCTGTCTCCTGCTATGTGACCCCCATATGTGTTCATGCATGCACACACATATATGCGTATGCACACATGTACTCGTGCACACGTATGTACACGCGTGCGCACGTACATGCATGTGTATATACATAAGCACACATATGTATACGCATGCCCACACAGCTATACACATACTTGTGTGTGTGCGTACATGCACGTACACATGCATGCAAACATGTACACATCCATGTACCACGTGCACATGCTCACACACACACACACCAGACCATAGCCCATGAGGTCACACCCTTCAGTCTTTGTGGTGCAATCCATGCCTCAGAGCCCTGCCCTGTGGCTCAGGCTGAGGTTGGACTTCAGCTGACAGCACCATCTGCTTCCTCCACTCCCCTTCCCTAGTCCCTCCCTTGAAGGATCTGATGTACCTGTATCCCTGTCTTGGGCTCCACTTCCCAGGAACCTGACCTGAGGTCCTGGCATGCTTTTCATATTGCACACCTTTGCCCTAGTTTTTGGTTTCATGAAAAGAGATCTCTGACAACGTAGATCATGTCTAGGTTAGTCCACAAGTGTAAAGCCAGGAGTAACCACAAAGGCACTAATTTGAATAATCCCTATCTAAAGATGACTGGCTTCTTGTCCCAGTGAGTCGCAGACGATTTTATATGCATATCCCCGCCCCCCGCTGGCCTTGAGCGCTTTCTTGGGGTTCTTCCCTGCTTCCCCTTCTTCCCTCTCTCCCTCAAACAAGTTATAACTGCCTCTTCAATGTCAGCTCTGGGTAAAGTTTTAGGCATTTCAAGATTAACACATCATCCCTGCTCTCAAGGGAATCATGGGCTATAGGCAAGACAGGTGAGGGGACAGTCTCAGCACAATGACAAATGAGCTCTAGCAGAGGATTTACAGTGTCTGGGAGGGAAGGGTTCCCTGCAGCCCCTCACACATTTTACAGAGCTCTTGGATTTAGAAGGGAATCCAGGCCTGGCATCTCCTGGCAGAGCCAAATTTACCCTGGGATGAGAATATGTCCTGGGTATTCGGGATGTGCCAGGCCCCAGTCTAAGCATTTTGACATGTATAGATTATACAGTCCCTGTGAGGAACCTATAAGGGAGATACTATTACTCTGCCCATTTTACAGATGAGGAAACTGAGCCTAGAGAAGTACCTTGTTCAGGCCACGTGGTAAGGGCAGAGCCTGGCTTTGACCCCAGACTTCATGCTCAGGATCACCTCATTTCCCATCTCTACCTCACATGTGCCGAGATTTGGGAACAGCCTGCTACAATGGTTGAGAGTATGTTTGTGTCACTAAGGGACAGAAATGAATAAGATGGCATTCGTCCGCAGGCCACAAACACCGCTTTGTAGCATTTATGTTTTAAGGATTAAAATGTATTGGGACACATATTTACACTGTTTATCATTAGTGTTTAGATTAAAAAAAATGAACGGGTCATACAGCTCACCCTTCACCCTCCCTTCCTCCTTCCAGGAGAACATCACCTAGAGCTCCTGTCTCAAACTGATGGCATTTAGTGCAATTTCCATCTTTACGATATCTTCAGTAACACTTTGAATTTAAAATTTTAGACTATCTTAATTTTAGTTTAAAATTTAAACTACATTAGAATGTTTTTTTTCAGGGCCATTTCTCCCAGGCAGGATTTTGTCATTCTGAAATGTCACCATTTTGCCACCATCCTTGGTGCTGAGGGAAGATCTCATCACTGGGAGAAGATGGTCCCTGTAATGGACCGGGTGTCTGTGTCCCCCAGAACTCATATGTTGAAACCTAACTTCCAACATGATATATTTGGAGGTGGGGCCTTTGCGAGGTGATTAGGACATGAAAGCGGACCCCTCCATGAAGGGGATTAGTGCCTTATAAAAGGGACCCCAGAGAGCCTTCTTTCACCTTGTGCCATACAAGGACACGGTAAGAATCAAGCCGTTAATGAGGAAGTGGGCCCTCACCAGACACCGAATCTGCCGGCACCATGCTCCTGGACTTCCAGCCTCCAAAACTATGAGAAATAAGTTTTGATTGTTTAGAACCCACCCAGTCTATGGTATTTTGTTAAAGCAGCCTGAATGGACTGAGACAGTCCCATCCCTGTCACTGTGGTATTGGCACCACCAGGGTAAACTGCTAGAGACAACATACAGCCCGACGGGGACCAGAGACAGAAGGAAAAAATGCCAAAACTCACTTGCACTAAACAATTCCATCACTTTTACTTTGAGGAGTTCCTCCATGTGGAAATCTGCCCAGCCTCCTTGACTCCTTTCCCCAGATCTTTCTTCTGCTGCTCTCCAGGTCCCTCCCTGCCTCCCACACCTCTGCTTTTCCTCTTGTCTCCTCCTCTCAGAACACAAAGGGAGCCTCCACCCACTTCTTTGAATTTTCCCTCTTCCAGAACCTAGATTATTTGGTAACTGCAGTCTTTTAATTTGGGGCAAAAGTTGGGGAGACAGTCTGTATGAAGCAAGATGCAAAAATAACATCACAATGTATTATTAATAAGAATTAAAAAGAAATGTCTACAATCTCCAGTTTTTATTATCAGCAATTCACTTATTACTTTGAGGGCTTTTGGCTTTCTTTTTTCGTTGTTGTTTGCTTTTTTTCTTTTTTATCCACCAGAGAAGAGCTATTTAAAATCTAAATATGCAAAAAAGCAAAAAAAAAAAAAAGCGACAGTTTTCAAAAGGGAGAAATGCTGATCTCGTCTAATGATGCCACAAGTTTACTCCAAAATTGCTCAATACCCCATAATGGAGGAGGGAAAATTGATCGTCCTCATTATCACTGCAGCTCTGTCAATACCAATATTGCCTTGTTTTGAATAAAATGTGCTGTTTTTTTCAATGTTGGTTCCAGTAAAATGGGGTTTTAGTGAAAATATGAGCAGTAGCAGGAAACCAGTCTGGTTTCTCCTCCTATAAATGGATTGATTTTCCTAACGCATATTACTTCCAATGCAGGCTAGGGGATGGTGGTTCAATTAGGACTCCATGGTGAGCACGTGGGGTCACCAAGCTGGCCATCAGGCTGAACCTGCAAGGCAAACTATCACAGAGCGATTTGCGGGGCAGCCTTCAGGAGTTTTTTTACTTTCTCCACTTGACAGTCGAGGCTTCAAGTCTATCCTTGTCCAGCTGTGGATGTTTGTTGTTCTTTATCTCTCCCCCTCGCAACCCCCCGCTTTCTCTTCTTCTGGTCCAGATTAATACAGTCCCAGAGCCCAGTGAGGGCTGGGTCCTGGTGGGGTGGGTCATTCCCAGGAGGCATGGGCTTTAGACACATAAGTCTATGGTGTGTCCTGACATAGATGTAAAAACCATCAGATGACCATGTCTGCTTCCCCCCAGATACTTAGAAAGAACCAGGGAGTTCTATTGAGCTACTCAAATTTGGATGAGTTGCTTATCCCAATTTGGTTGAAATGTTCTTTGATGATTTTGGAAAAGAGATGGTGTAAGTTAAATGACCTCAGCTCTTCAGAAATAGCACAGGTAAATAGGGCCCACAGGTGGGTTTCATTTGATAAGTTAGTTATGGTTATTTTTGCTTACTTAGAATTAGTTCTTTCTATATATGGGTGTAAACTTTCCCTTTTGCCACAGTCCCCATCAGCCTGGTAGACTCATTTGGGGTAGCCACATGGCCTTGTAGATGTGGGAGTTTGTGATCTTGGTTTATGTGTAAGAGGTCCGAGTCCCACTGAATCAGTAGAACCCATGTCTAAAAGCATGGCTTCCTTGATGCCCTTGAATAGATTTGCAACTAAGACTGAGATGCATGTGGGTGCCTGCTCCAAACCTTCTGCTTCCCTCACAAATTATATGCATATGATGTCTAATGCTATCAGGTAACA